ATTTTAATTGAGTGTGCTACAGTGACTTAGACACACAAAGGTTGAAAGTACTCAGATCTTTTATGCAAGCAAAGCTAGCAATACCACAGTGTAGAGATGTTCTATTACAAGTAAGATTCATGCAATTGCGACTATTATCTTATCCTCACCTAGGCTATAACAATAGATACTAATTGGTTCATTTATTTGTTTGCAGACTTATTCAGAATCCACAAAGCAATTTCAGTTCACACACAACTTATAGCGGTTGAAATAGCAGGAAATGGATGGACTCGAATAAAGAACAGTTTCCTCAAAATCGTAGTTAAGTGCAGTATCGTTACTTTGTGGCAACATGAATATGAAGACCGTTTAACATCAGACTCACTTCCCAGAGTCGTCGAAGCAGACCTCGGTGTGTCCCTCCGAGTGGCCGTAGCGCATTGGCTTCCTCTCACAAGGCATTTTCACAAAGCTACCACGCTGAAGAGCAGAAGAACACAGTAATACATTCATTAAGGTAGGACTAACACTTCAACATTACACCTATGCCCGAGCTGAGCCATGTTAACGTTAACAATACAGCCACTGCAGCTAACTAACGCTGTTTCAAACTCAACGGTCGGAACATTACACGGTGTTTACGGGAATACACGTTTAACTTTGACTCATTTGAAATGTTGTCTAACTATATATGCCTGAAAAAATGTTTTGACAACTTACAATTTCCCCGGTTGACTCTGTTCCTCTGCTCCTAAATCTCCCGCGCTGCGTTAAAAACATGGAACCGAGCGTCACGACTCCCGCCAGCTACGTCATGACGCAGTTGCCTAAATCCCTCCTACGTCTAAAGCCACCTGCATGGATCTGTCAGTGCAGTTCTCAATACTCTGTCAGGGGTCCTTTCTCAAGTTATCACCTCCTCGACTCCTCTTTCCTTCCTCGACTCCTCGCCCCTCTTGGGAGGTGAGGAAGAGATTCGAGGAGTGATGAGTCGAGGCAACAGGCATTTAAAATACATTATGAATCCCTTCCTTGGAGTGGTCACTTTGAGCTCTGCATCAGCTGTCCTTTTTTCAATATCACTGTATTTCATCATCTGTCAAATGAGCATAATAATAGTTGTAATATGTAATATTGTTGAATGAAACAACAACTGAAACACAAAGTGAATTTACATAAATAAATTAAATGCATAGACCTACACACATTTTATTGCAAATAAATAGTACTCCGGATTTACTAAATACTGTTTCTGTGAGCTTAAACAATGGTGATGCAGAGACACCCACCCTTAATCTGCAAAAATAGCACACAAGCCTCTCTTTAGTTCATTCTGAACAAATTAAAAACATCACAACACAAAGTCTTTATTCTTGTCATTAAGCCGACAGCGTCTCAGGGGAGAGTTTGATCAGTGCAACAGGAAGTGCTCTGTTGGCCGACAGCTGTGTAAGTATTACATCCTTGAAATATAACAGTGTGAAAGAATCAGGGTGTGAAGATGTACATGTACAACTTGCCTGATATGTTGTGTTATGCATGTCCCCAATGAGCTCAAAAACATTACATATAATTTCTCAGATTTGGATATCAAATATATTGTAAATCTAATCTAATCTAAATATTGATGCTGGCTAACAGGATCATACAAGAAAACATCAATATTGTATGTATGTTGTGCAGGAAAATCAATAGATGTGGCTCCTGCTTTTGAACCCTGACTGAGCGTTAACATGTAGAAAGTTAAAAGGATCACAATCTATGTGATAAACACAATCACCTAGATTTAGCATGTGAGATCTTAGTTCATTAAAGCTGATTACCTCTGAGTTAGTATTGCTCTTTTATAAAGTTGTGATTTACGAGAAACTCTTTTTTTATATAAAGAATTGGAGCAAATTTCTTTGTAAACGTCAAGGGAATGTTGGTAATGGTTAATTAAATGTACTCTTTATGAAATGTTATCACATAGTCGTGTTACACTGCAGGAATTATTCTATTTTGAGTCTCCAGGGGGAGTCTATGCATACAGTGACCTCTGTGAACTCAAGTAAACAAACAGTGACCCTGGTTCATCAGGTCATCGAATTGTTTTACGGTACATAGATGAAAATGTCTCTGGCTTTTATGAGGGGCTTTTGTTACAAAAATGTGTTTTACGGCTCTGTTTGTAGAAATATTGTGTTTGGTGCATTTGAAGCCCCACTCTTAAAACTGCGACTAATTCAATTCAATTAGTGACTTTGAGTGACAAATTAATGAAGTGGAGTAAAAAGCACAGTATTAGCCTGAGCAACGTGGTAGAGAAGTACAATTACCTTATAATACAGTACTTTAGAAATGTAGTTAGTTATGTTTCACAAATGACATTCAGTGGCACTCCACTTTAATTGGGACTAATGTACTGTATTTAAGTCATTGTAGGAAAGGCACAGGTTACAAATTGCGATGTCCCTGTAATTCATAACAATATGACAGTGAGCCAGCATGCACACAAAAATACTGAGACTGAAGTACCTTAATGGAATTGAGCCATTGTATTATTTACTTGTTTGCTTTCCTACTGTGACATTTGAAAAGGTATTTTATAAGAAGGCATATTGACTCTTTAGTTGATTCCATCTATGTTATAAGTTTGCCTGAGGTTAGTGTTGCTCAAATGTAAGCCTTGAACTCATCTCTTTTTAAGACATATATTAGCCCAGTTTTGTGGCAAAAATGTAATCTTCTGGCCCAAACCAGATGATTCGCCACATCTAAACCTCAACAGTAATAATGAAATTCACAAAAAATCTAAAAAGAACCGGTCCATCAACAACATACAAGCTGTGTTGGAGTAAAACACTGACGTCTGTATGAAAAGTTCTAACGCAAAGTGTTTGTGCCTGAAAACCTAATGACCGTATAATGAATGTTTTATGCAATGTTTTGTATTCATACGTGTATACCCTCAGGGCTGATTTACACTGTTGGTCAGAGGGAGACTGAATGACACGTGAATCAATTGAAACATCTGAATTCCAGTCCACTTATGAGGGGGGAAATAATCTTTTTCATGTCCTTATCTCTTCATTTGCTCTGCTGAAGCGCTGGCATTTAGAGGTGTCCTTTGCAGAGAGCGGGATGAATTGTTTTCAGAGCAAAACTTCAAAAGCAGCATTTTCCATACCATTAGCCTGTCTGACTGTGACACCGCCCTCAGCTGCAGCATGAACAGGCATGGATGGATAAGCATGACTTGAGCGGCACCGTTAAATTGGTCTAGAGATGACAAGAAACCTGAGACAGTCAAACGAAAGAAGCAGTCTAAATGGCATTTATTGGTTTGTCTATCGGGGGGTGCAGTGAACACAATATACGGCCTCAAGGGGGGAATCACAGTGATTCAAGTACTTCGAGAAAACTGCTTCATCCTATAGTGTACTGCACTTCGGTCCATATGGTGGCCCTTAGAGCACTGCAGCTTAAGAACATACATTCAAATAGAAAAATACAAGCAAATACAGAAAACATCATCATCAATTTGTATGTGCAGCATTTCAAGTAAAGATACAATTTTCTACATATATAGAAAAATAATAACATTCTCACAACATCACTTAATTGAAGAAAACTTGTTAATACAGTTACAGAAGCAAAACAATGTTTTCCTTCTTTGTATTCTGATTACATGAATATATCTCATCAGTATGCCAACCGTCAACAAAAGGCTAAAAATGGAAATGTCGGACATTTTCAGAAGTTTTTCTGTTTCTTTTTTGTGTCCTGCAACATTTCTGTATTTGTTTTTTGTTTTTTTCATTTGCCTGGATTTTTTTCTATATGAATGTGTCCTTCATTTGCAGTGTGTTAAGCTTTTAAAGCCACCAAAACTTCAATATATTAACAGTCTTACAATAGCAATTATTGTGAAGAGTGTATAGGCACAACTGATTTTAAAATATTAAATTACAGAAGATCCTTCAGCTGAAAATGAACAGTAAAGAAGCAGCTACAATGAGGAAACACAGATGAAGCAGACAGTCCTCCCAAATCTCTGATCCGTGCAATTCTTCCACCATCTTGTGGCTGCAGATAAGAATGCAGTACCATTGAATGAGTTCAATTCCTCTTCATAAGAAACCATGTTTGTTAAGAAGAACTGTTTGAAGCCATACATAGACAACACTTCCAACCAAGTTATCACTAAAGTGTCTTTTTCTGTCCCCATATGTCTAATTATCTCACAGACACTGCCAAAAGAGTAATTGAGCACAATATGTATAGCAGATAAATAGTCCTCTCTTCTTCTGGTTGTCCAAGCACATTTTACCACAAGGAGGTTAATGTAGTTGACAGCCTCCATCTTTTGAGGGAGGTGTGGTTAGAACCTTGTGGTTTGTTAGACTTGTATTTTTTAACAGGATTTGTATGGCAATGTTAGAGAGGACCACTCTGTTCCTCTTCACCCTAGGGAAGAGTTCTTAAAATGTTGTTTTGTTAGAGACTTGACAGAGAATTCAATACATTTACTAGATGCAGTTTCAGTGTTTCTTCTGCTTACGCCTGTGTGCACTGATTGTGAGCAGGACCTGGCCATAACTAAGCCTCATATTTTTATGAAATAAAGCTACATTAAAGGCGGATCGTTTCAGGAAACCACGGAAAGTGCTTCTCTCGGATTGAATTGAAGTCAAATGGGAAAATGCTCCAACTTCAAGAGTCAACATTTCACAATAAGTGTTGGGGACATGTTTGCCTTATTAGTCTCAGTGCACCTTGTCTTTGCTTCCAGTTGCTATCCCGAAGGCAGATAGAATACATTCAAAGTTTCAAACCATCTCTTAGTACTGAAGGAATACACATTTTGTCCAATTGTTCTTATAGTATATCGATTCAGACCTTTAGAGAAGGAGCTTTAATTATTTTCCTCTTGATACATCCAGATCAACACATATCTTAAAGAACTCTCCAGTTATGCACCATTTAGACCTCAACAGCAGATTTGCCTTCCACAATACGAGGCCTGCTTTGGACTGTCACACAGCGCAGGCCCCATCACATTTGATGTGGTACTGGCGGAGGAAGTCCCTGAGCTGGTAGGGCAGCATCAGGTTGTCTATGCCCTGGTAGGTGATATGGCTACAGATCACAGTCCTGCAAAGGTGCTGCAGGGTGAAAGGGAAGGTCCTTGGAAGTGGCCTTGAAAGGAGGGGCTCAAAGAAGAGGCAGGTGGCCGGGTCACTGTAGTGTCTCAGTAGTCCCGTCACACTGGGATCCCGGTACATACACGGGTCGCGCACATCAAAGCTGAAGCGTTTGTCGTTCTGCTCAATGCGTGCGTGCAGGGAGCGGCTGTAGCGGCGGAAGCTGACTGAGAAGAGGAACTCATCCTGGGCCGAGTCTCGGAGCAGAAATGTCCCCTCTGGTTTGCCCTCAAGCAGCTCCTCCGCCTCGAAGCGGTTCAACACACCCCAGTAACAGGAGCTGTTGTTGATCTGAAGAAGATCTGGAACAAGGATGTAGTCAGTGTGGCCACAGCTGCCCTCCGCTTCCCCATGAGAACAAGAAGGGTCCCAGTCCTCGAGACTGGTGCCTCCAGGCCCAGGAGAGCAGCAGATGTCGTCCCAGGAGAGAGGGGTCGTTGGTGGGGAGGTAGAGGAAGTTGAGACATTGGGTTTGAGAGGAATCTCCATGTCCATGAGGGCATTCTGGTTGGTGGCTTGATTTTTAATAAGGTGCCAACATCGGGCCAGTTCAGATTTGGGCGAGAAGGGGCACTTTTCCTGCATGAGCTCTGAGACGTGGATCTTGCGTTTGGACCAGAAGAGCACTGAGAAGGGTCGCGAGGAGCCCAATGAATGGTGGTGATGATGATGATGGTGATGGTGAGAGCGCAGAGGAAAACACTGACCCACAGCATCCTGAAACCTTTGTCGCAGTGAGCGGTGGGACAAGGCCTTCCGACACACCACATCAATGTCTGCAGACGTCAATGCTTCCCCGAGAGTGCTGCAGCTACACTTTCTCTCTCTGCGCCGCCTAGGACACGATGTTGACCGCACACCCAGCTCCTCCGTCCCCTCCACCTCCATTCCTCCAGGACTCGACCCGTTGCGAGAGCTCCTGGAGCGTTTCTTTCCCCGCCAAACATAACTGTCTGCACTCCAACTGCGGAAGCCACTTTTGGGACGAGTGTCTGAACCTCGTGGCTTCTTATCTGACATGGCGGCTTCTTCTCCTTAATCTGTGACAAAATTCAATAAAAGGATATCTGAGTCAAACACATGAATGCATCAAATTATGAATACGTTACATTTCAAATGTAGTTTTAATTAGTCTAAAAGTGCTGCTCCTCTCTTGCTCTCCAAATCAATGGTTCCTTAAATATTTTACAAGAGCAATGCTGGTTTCTTCTTAACTGACTAAAAAAGAACCATTCAAAAAAACCTTCTCCTTTCTTTGTGTGCAGGAATGCTTACAGCTTATTTGTGCAAAACTAGCAGGCTGATTTGGATCACCTCCAGTGGAAAACATCAAAGTAAAACTGAGTTCAGGAAATATATCAGTTCCCGCAAAAGACATTGGTCGACTTAACATCTGATCTACTCAGGCAACAGACTTTTCCTGCTTCATTCAGAGATGGTTCAGAAAGAAAGTTTGGTAAACATCCTACAAAGCTATTGTTCGAACACTTTAGTTATAGTCCGTTAATATTAAATTGGTCATGGCAGCTGTTTGTGAAAATACAAAAACAACAATCTTATTAAACTGAGCAGCGAGATATTTAACATCCAAGGCTGGTAATCGCTCTCTGTTGTGTTGAACTCTTTGAAGGTTATTGCAAGAGATTATCTTACCTTGCAAAAAGTGTCAGACATCCACATCCATGTTACAGTGAGCAGACACGTGTGACCCGCCTGCAGCCAGCTCCAGCTCTAACAGACAGCAGACGGTCCGCTTCCTATATAATTATGATGGCAAATCCCAGAGGGGGCAGCAGTTTCCTCTCCACCAGGGCCGGGTCTGAATGAATGAATGAATGGAGGAAGGTGGAGCCAGAAGGGTGGGGGGAGGTTTGTTTCAGGGTAATTGAGATATCCTCTTTTCTCTCTCCTACATCCTCCTTTACACATTCATTGACAAATTCCATTTCCAAAGAAAAAGCCGGAGTGCTTTTTTATTCACAAAGTGAATTATTTCTGCCTGTAATTATGTTCCAGGACACTGATTTAAGTTTTTAATTTAATCCGAGGCCCGTAGCTTAAAGCAACAAAGCAAATGTTGGCGAGCTTTAAATCTGTTTAAGTCTGTCTGCTGAGGATGCCAAACTAAAAGAAGATTATCCCGCAGGTTTACCTGCAGCCTGTACACACTAGACGCTTCGGTATAGCAGATACTGTCTAACTAACAATTCAGCACAGTAGAGGAAACAACCAGGCGTTTTAAAAAGCTTCACTTATTGATTGAATAACCTTTGCGTTTCTGAGTTAAAATTTCCAGCAAGTGCTGCTGAAAGGACTCATCTGTCAAGGTGATGTCATCATACACAGAGTGTGGATGACATTTTGGGAGATCTATAATTCATGAAACAAATAGACTACATCTATCAGACAAATAAATAATATTACTCCCAGTGGTTCAGTGTGTGTCCGCGTGTGAGTCCACATGTGTGTGTTTCCATGTGTGTATGTGTCCTCTCAGCTCTAACATAAGGGTAGGTCATCAATAAATGCCTGACATCTCAGATAATGTAGTGACACTCAACTTCCTCTTAACTGAATATTTAATGCTCTTCACATTATCACACAGCCCGGCAGGATGATAAGGTCACATGTTCTGGCAAACAACCAGATCGATTTATCTGACCCCCAAAAAAGGAGTAAAGAAGTATACTGGCAGAACCTTTGGCTGAATAAGCGGATTGGAAACCTTCGGGAAAAACAACCAGGTCAAATAATTAAACTAATGCAACAACTATTGCTATTGCAGAGCCACAAGGCTATACTAAATTATACTTTTTGCTAAATGCTAACACCAGCATGCTAATGTGGTCACAATGAAAACAGTCTACTGTTTAGCAGGTATGATTAATATTAAAGATAATAATACTAACTCTTTTGCACCTTTAATAAAAAGATAGGGCCCAAAGATGCTTAACAAAACTAAATACAACACAATTTCAGGTGAAAATAAATTCGAAATATTGAATAAATTAATGGTTGGATTACCTCAAATGAAAGGCCATGTTGAAATGTGTTAAAAATGTTTTCTTTAAATCAGTGATTTAAAAAACAACAGTTTCATTTGTAATATCACATTTAGCAAAAAAGCCATCTGCTGTGTCACTGACTGTACTTATTATGTATTATTACATCAAAAGAGGATTAAGGATACAAGGCAACACTTTCCTCGTGTGATTCACAGATTCTCAAAAACTCAGCATTTCCGGCACTCTCCATGAAACTCTCTTCAGCCTCTTCATTGAACGGCAGCACAGATATTGATCAGGAAAAAACACAGAGAAAAACACAGTGTCAGGTAACAGAGAGAAGATATGTGATCTGAATTTGAAGAAATTATACAGAAAGTTATTTATATGTAAATGTTGTTAATTTCAAATGTTTTATTTTGGAACCGAACTGAAATGTTCCTTCTCAGTTTGTGTATACTGGATGTTTTACTTTATTCACATCAGTTAGTTGAATATTGGACCATTGGCTTCCAAAGTTTTTGAGGTGAAAAAATACTGCTAATTTGTTTACATTTACAACACTTATCGTTCCTGTCCCCAAAAAAATAAAAATCACCAGCCTCAATGACTACCGCCCAGTAGCACTCACCTCCATCATCATGAAGTGCTTCGAGCGGTTATTCAAAACCTTCATCACCTCATGACTCTCTGGACCCCTGCAGTTTGCCTACAGAGCAAACAGGTCCACAGACGACACCAGAGCCCTCACCATCCACACTGCCCTCTCACACCTGGACCAGAGGAACACTTATGTGACAATGCTGTTCATTGATTACAGTTCAGGCTTCAACACCATTGTGCCCTCCAAGCTGGTCATCAAGCTCAGAGACCTCGGGCTCAACAGCGCCCTCTGTGACTGGATCCTGAACTTCCTGACGGGCAGACCCCAGTGCGGGTGGGAAACATCACATCCTCCACCCTGATCCTCAACACAGGTGCCCCTCAAGGCTGCTTGCCCAGCCCTCTCCTCTACTCTCTGTTCACTCACGACTAAGTGGCCATACAATATATGAATGCACCTGCCCATTACCTGATCAAGTTAAATGCCGCCTATCACAGTGCGCTGAGATTTTTTACAAACTGTAAAGCACTTACTCATCACTCTACCCTGTATGCCAGGGCAAGTCTGCCATCACTTATGGTACGTCCACACAGCAGCGTTAAAAAAAATCTTCCAACGCTTCTGCCCATTCATTTTGAATGGGGTGACGTCACTTTGCCTCACTTTTCGCCAAACTGCATTGTGAGAAGCAAAGCTGAGATTTCCAAGCATCTGACGGCCCTCTCGGCGGCGTGCGTTGCCGCTTCAACGCTTCTGCCCATTCACTTTGAATGGGCTGACGTCACGATTTGCCGAACTGCATTGTGGGAGCAAAGCGTAGCTTCTCTCGCGGTGCTCGCTGCAAAAGTAGAGCAATGTTCTACTTTTGACGCCTCGACGGAGGCGTCAGCCAATCTAATCATATGCCAGTACAAGCTCTAGCCAATCAAACCGCGTGCTTGTGTGTCTGGGGCGGGAGATTCATGTGATTGGTTGTTGGGCGAGTTTCAGCCCCCACCGCCGGCAAGCGACAACGCACGCCGCCGTGTGTAGGGGCCGTCAGGATTCAAAAGTTGAGAAATGTTCAACTTTTGAATCTTCTGAAGCTTAAGGTGGAAGCGTCAGCCAATCGAATCATATGCCAGTACAAGCTCTAGCCAATCAAACCACTGCTTGTGTGTCAGGGGCGGGAGATTCATGTGATTGGTTGTTGGTCGAGCTTCAGACACGCCCGCCGGCAATCTTCAAAAGTTGAACTTTTCTCAACTTTTGAAACGAGCAACGCGAGCAAAGCGAAGCGACGGAACCACAATGTAGTTCGGCAAAGCGTGACGTCAACCCATTCAAAGTCAACGGGAAGAAGCGTTGAAGCTTCAATGCACGCCGCCGTGTGGACGGGCCGTAAAGCGTCCCAGAAGCGTCTCTGTGCTGGGCTCCGCTAAAAATAGGATTCAAGTCTATTTTCGACGCGAGGCGTTGCATAGCGCCGGGCAGGAAGTGGACCAGTCAGAGCATCCAGTCATTCCCCAAAATAAACTAATTTTGCAGACCCTATCCCTCCGTAGTCTTTCAAGTAGGAGGAGAAATGCCAGCGTTCTGCTCCGGTCCATAAACTGTTCTGTCCGCTGCCGTCTGGCAGGCGCTACCGCAGCATCAGGACTAAAACCACCAAATTCAGAGACAGTTTCATACTACAGGCAATAAGACTGCTAAACAACTGAGCTGCTGAAACAACATCTCTTAAACACCTGAACTGTTGAAACAACATCCATAACATTCATCTGCTACTTAGTAATTATGTTTCTATTTATCTAATATATCATTCCAATAACTTGCATATTGACTCTTATTGCACTATTTCACTTTTTTAAACTATTTTTCTTTTTGTATTTACTATTTACTTGCACTATATCTTTCTGTTTATCTGTGTTATTGTGTTGCTCTGTTGGAGAAGCCTGTGACCTAAGAATGTCATCGGCATAACTACACTGTATGTTCGTATGACAAAATAAAGAACCTTGAACCTGAACCTTGAAGCTTTTGTCCTTCAACAGATTAATGTGAATACAGCCTTTTAGTATCAAACTTACGTTTTCTTTTACAGTGAAGTCAAATATGGGAATCCAATGATAAAGAAATTTTTTTGAGTTTGTATTCATATGTATATCAAGAAAACGGACCCACCTTGGGACGTGTTTGTTTAATTGTCTATAGCCTCAGGCCTATCACAGCCAGCAATAGTGGTTGTCACTTACTTGGCACTTGAGACCCAAAGCCCTTGCTGAAGTTAGTATCATCTGGCATCAATTGCTAACAGATGGTGATGAGCCACAGAACTGCGATGCAAGCTTGGTCCCTTTGTGCTTACAGTATAAACACATATAGCCTGCTCATATCTGCGGCACAAACTATGATCTCACAGTGTGTCAATG